TACTAAAATTATGATTTGTCAATTAAAAATAAGCCAATTGGGAAATGAGACAGTTCTTTAAATCTATCCACGTAAGTGGCCGATAAATTCATGAAAAGATGTTCAATATCCTTAGTCATTAAGAAAATGCAGATCAAAATCATGAGATAGCACCTCATATTCACTAAAATGGCTGTGTTAAAAAGACAGATAAGAACAATGTTGGTGAGCGTTTGGAGAAGTTGAAACTCTTACACATTGATGGAGGTTATTTAAACTGGTTTACCCCTTTGACAAAGAGTTGGGAGTTCTAATCTCAACATTTCTTACTCTACCTAATTTCATTTCTCACTTAATTTGGTTCCTTTTGTTTTCTTATTGATATTCTGGGATGAATCTTTATTTCTACCATTCCTTTACTTCTACAGAAATCCTGTTTTACACCAAATGATATATGAAATGCAAAGAGTGTTATAATTCATCACCCTAGCGCTTCTTAGGCCAGTGGTCTTTGAAGGGGAATCAATACCAGCCTGTGTGTAAAACATTATTGGAGTTCAGGAAGAAATAGTTACACTTCTATCAGATTGCTATTTTAACTGAATCCTTTAAAATTATAATTAGTACTTTTATGAATGTGTATATTAATATGTTAGTAAACATATAAAGAAGCATCTGTCTCTGCATCTGCTTACAGTATACTGCTTGAATTTTTCTTATTATTTGGGATGACTGACTCAAGATCTTAGAGGACAAATGTGTTCCTTAGATTTTTGGGGGGGAGGGTGTTATTGGGAGTTGAACTCAGAGATGCTTAAGCAGTAAGCTACATCCCCAGCTTCTTTTTATTTTTTTGAGTCAGGGTCTCGCTAAATTGCTGAGGCTGGCTTTGAACTTTCACTCCTCCTACATCAGCCTCCTGAGTCTCTGGGATTTCAGGTGTACACCACTATGCCTGGCTTTAGAAAATTTTTAATCTCATAGTAATATAAATATACAAATTTACTGCACTCTCATATAAACATAAAGCCTCATGACTCTTAGGCTTTATTAACCCATGACTGACTATTGCCCTTGTTAATTTACTATGTTAGTTATAAAATCACTAGAGCTTTGTATTCAGGGTTGCTTGGTTTTAATGGGAGAAACTAACTCTGACCAATAAGAATACAGAAAGAGCAGTAGTTGGCTCACAAAATCAAAAGAGAAGCAGGTGATGTGGCCTGCTAAGAACAGAGCTGCAGCAGTGCTGGACCTCAGGAGTAGGCCCAACCCTATGTACCCCAGGGCCTTGCTTTGGTTGACTCAGCTGTAGTTACCTTCCCTTCATGAGTGTCTCCACTCAGGATTTACATTTCCAAGAAACAATGTGACAGTCTATCTTCAGCTACATGCCACACCCTAAAAATTATTTATTAACATCCTTCCTTATATCTCCTGTGATCTTTCCCAACCATTCATGTCTATAAATCCCAGCGCTCGGACATCAATACTGTTAGACCAGGACGCAAGAAAAGACCACTGACTCCAATTAAAATCAAATTAAAGCAAGCTTATTATTTCGACCGGCTGGGCTGCCTCTTTCCTCCCAAAACGGCAGGAACAAGACAGCAACCCCAGCTTTCCTGCAGCCCAGCTTTATAGCCCAGAAAGTTACACAAAGGGGGGAGGGTTACAGATAACAGAACTCTGACAAGCATCACACTGATGGTAGTTTACATTTTTTGCTGGCCCCAACATCAGAATTTATGAAGACCATTAGAGCCTCAGAGAGGGTTGTTGTCTGGCCAGGGAAGGCCAATATTTATGAGGTGTCACTAAAGTTTCAGAGAGGGCTGCTATCTGGTCAGAGAGCCAGGCATGGGTGAGTTCAAGGCACGGGCAGGCATTCCAAGCAGGTTCAGAATTTGTAGTAATTTATAGTAAAGCCGAAATTATCTTTTCATGGTTTTGTGGCAAGATGGCTCCCAATTTTAAGAAAAGATCAGGTTGGGTCTATCCTATCATACTGGCTGGAAAATGCTGATTCTAATGATGTCATCTTCATATCCAGAAGAGAGAGAGAGAAAAAAAAACTGTTGGTTGTGAGTGTTTTTTTCCCTCTTTATACCTTCAGGAATAAAATATGAAGTTTTTTTCAGAAATAATTGAAAGCCCTTAGAATAAATTTTAGAAAGTTCAGAATAAATTTGAAATTAATTTTTCTTTCCTGCTCTATATCAATGACTTATTATTCTTTGTACTATCATAAAATCCATATTTAGGCTGGGGGTGGGGCTCTGCAGTAGAGTGTCTGCCTGGCATGCACAAGGCCTTGGGTTCTACCCCCAGCACGACCAAAATTAAAAATAAAGATAGAAGAAAATCCAGGTTTAATCATTTTGGCCTTTAGTTTATAGGGAAAAAAGATGGAGATTAAAATTTAACTTTTTTGAAATATAAACTGCCTGGATAGCATTTTGGAAAAGAGTGATAATAAGTGCTGATATTGTTTCTTCAGATACTCTGTTGTAAAATGTTTAAGGGAGAAACTTCAAGTGTTGATTTATACAATCATTTTTTACAATTTTTTAATTTGTTCTCTTTAGTTATACATGATAGTAGAATGTATTTTGACATACATACATGGAGTATAACTTCCTATTCTTGTGGTTGTATATGATGTGGAGTTACACTGTTCGTGTATTCACAGAGGAACATAGGAATGTTATGCCAATCATTCTACTGTCTTTCCAATTCCCGTCCCCCCTCTTCCCTTCATTCCCCTCTAATTCAGTGAATTTCTGTTCTTCCCTCTGTCTCCCTCCCCACTTATTATGAGTAAGCATCTGCATATCAGAACATTTGACCTTTGGTTTTGGGGATTAGCTTATTTAGCTTAGCGTGATAGTCTCCAGGTCCATCTATTTACCAGCAAATGCCATAATTTAATTGAAGGGTACCTAGGTCAGTTCCATAGCTTAGCTATTGCTAATTGAGCTGCTATAATCATTGATGTGTCCATCTCACTGTAGTAGTCTGATTTTAAGTCTTTCGGGTATATGCTGAGAAGTGAGATAACTGGGTCAAAAGGTGATTCTATTCAAATTTGAAAAATGATATAGGGAAGGTGTTTTATCTTTAATGAAATTTTAAAAAATTCATTGAATTTTGAAGCTCATCAATTAGGATAGGATTTATGCACAGAAGGAGAAAGTCAGTAAGGGATATATCTAACATGGAACCAAAACACCCAATGTCCAACTATCGCACCATTGAAACACCCATTTGGCCAAATCTAGCCTTTAAATTTCATGGTGAAAGTTAAATGCCATCTTGAGGGAATCAAATATACCCCCATTTTAAATCTCAATCATTGTCTTCCTCTACTTGGCTTAATAGATAAGCAGCGAGAGCCTAATACTAATGGGACACGTATAAGCTACTTGGCAAAGCAGAGAAATCAATGACCACTCATGATTTGGGTCTATCCCATCAAGTCCAGAGCAGGTCAAGGGCAGGAGCACTGTACTGTCCCCCTTGCACGAGGAACAGGAGGATGAAAATTGAGAGGAGACATCTTATTTCAAATTCTCATGAGGATCAGTGATGTTTATGTCTAACCAGGTAGCAGTAATGGAAATACGACATAATGTTTGGTTGTCTCTTCATTATAGCCCTTCATTTTGTAATCTCTACAAAGGTAAAAGAAAAGAAAAATGAGGCAAATGGTCATTTTTATTAATGTATACACAAATAACTTTTTAAATAAAAAACTCTGCTTTAACGTTTTGAAAAGATCAAGTGGTTCACAAAAAATACTTATATACCTAGCATCGGTGGAACACATTAAATATGTGATATGTAAAATATGTGCTATATACTAACAATGTAAGTCATTATTATTAAGAAATCATTTTTCACACTTGTTTATTTTTAAGTAAGAAAATATTATGAATTGCATTTTTTAATATTCTGGCATACAGTATAATTGTTCTCAATGTTACTTTTTTTATTTGTGAAATTGAATACTCAGAACAATTCCATTTAAATAAATAGAAACAAACTGGAAAAAAAAACACAAAAATTGGAGCTGGGGTTGTGGCTTAGTGGTAGAGCACTTGCTTAGCAAGTGTGAGGCCCTGGGTTTGAGTCTCAGCACCACATATAAATAAAATACAGGTCCATTTACAACTAAAATAAATATATATTTGAAACAAACCCACAGAAACAATTTTAGTTAAATTGGAGTAAGAAGTTCTGGTGTGCTACTGCATGGTACTGCATGGTAGGCCGACTGTAGATAAAGATAATGTACTGTATATTTTGAGTGTTTTCACCATAAAGAGATCATAAACATTTAAAGAGATAGATAAGATCAGATATTATTAATCAAATTTGATACAATATATAAATGTATCAAAACATCACATGATACCTCATAAATATGTGCAATTTTTATGATTTTATGTATTGGTCTAGTATAAATTTAAATTTAAAATCACTGATTCTATTAATGATGTTGGTTTAAATGTTAGATATAGTTATTTTAAAACTTGTAATTTGGCCAAAGTTGATAGATGGAAAATAATTTTATGCACATTTACAACTTAACTACTATGTGTATAAAATCATATAAAACATTTTAAAATTCCCCAGATTTATTTATGGGGAGAGGAAGGAAGAACAACAATTATATGCCAAAATATGTAATTAGAGTTCAAATAGTATAAACTGTAGAGCATCAGAGGAAGTAGAGATTAGTATGATCAAAGAAGCAGATTAGAAGCCAAAATGGGGAAATAAGACTTGAAATAGGACCTTGGGCAGGATTTAGATATGAAAATAGGAAATAAGAGAATTATTCTGTATTTTGATTATGCAGAGATCCTGATTCATTCTTCTTTAAAGTGAGTTCAAGTCCAGTGACAGCTTTGAGGGAACAGAATTTTAATATTCATTTGAAAGAAAATTTATAGCAATCGAAATCACTTTACAAGGCTAATTAATGTAAAAGGTAATCTCTCATCTCTTTCTTCTAGGCGTGTCTGCACAGCTCACCAGCACCCGGCACCGTAGGAACACATCCGTGGGAACACCATTTTGGATGGCTCCTGAGGTCAGAGTTTTGAGAAAGACAGTGTTCTCACTTCCCTTTTCATGTATACTGTATCTCCACAGTATTTTGGAATACCACAGAAGAAAGGGTGCTTTGTGTTATTTAAACATAGGATTTTTGCGTGTGTGAGAAAGAACACTGGAGGTGCCCCATAAATGAGCCACGAATAAACGAATGAACAAATATGAAGTGGAATGAATGAGTCAACCCAATGAGGTAGCAAGAAGCTACTTGCAGTTTTAATTTTTCATTAATTTACTTCGTGGTTTAGCATGTATCTGTTATAGATTTGTATGTTTTGTTTTTAAATTAGAAATATGAGAACCCTTGACTTTGTTATGTCAGATTCAGGTCCATTGACCAATATATCAAGTTCCCGTATTGTTCACCCACTTGGGGTCAGCTTTAGTAGATTCTTTTCATCATGATGTGAGTGAAATTGTAAATAAATTACTAAAATAGTTAAGGGAAAAAGTGTTCAGTTACATCTTCCCTCCGCAGTCACTGTTTTAGTGCCTTCTGTCTTTTTCGTTATGTTTATCAATAAAGAACACTTATTTTTGAAAATCCTCTCTGCAACCATTGGGAAAAGCTCTGCTATTTACCTATGGTTTTCTAGAGAGTGAAGGAAGCAGAAGCAATTCAAACACTATATTAATATTGCAAAAGCCTCTAATTAAATTTGGCATTTAAATCCTGGTATAATCTTTTTATTTGAATACCAATTCAATTATTTTTTATAAAAAGTTAGAATGTATACATACAAAATAAGGAGAGAGAATTTACTATTTTACGAGACTTTATGAAAATCCAGCGGATTAAAAAAAAAAACTTAACAGGGGCTAAATCTGAAAATAAAAATATAAAGTGTAGGCATTAGCAAAAACAGAATTGAATGAGAATCTCAAAAGAGTTTCTTTAAGCTGGGCGTGGCACACACCAGTAATCCCAGTGGCTCTGGAGGCTGAGGCAGGAGGATCACCAGTTTAAAGCCAGCCTCTGCAAAAGTGAGGTGCTAAGCAACTCAGTGAGACCTTGTCTCTGAATAAAATATAAATTAGGGCTGGGGATGTGGCTCAGTGTTTGAGTGTCCCTTAGTTCAATCCCTGATACACTCTCCCATCAAAAAGAATTTCTTTAGTATTTTTTTCTGATATCTCTCTAATGTTTTGAATACTTGTAAAAAATTAAAAATAGTGAGAAGTCAATAAAAATGTAGTTTTCTACAAAATATTTTGCATCTTGTTAGCATGTATTAATAATTAATATGAATAATGCAGCTTATGATAGTTATGATTAATACTCTAGTTATGTTTTATGTTAATTTATAATAACAAAGCCATTATCACATATTTGAGTTTGCCTTTTAATAAAAACAGTCCTTAATGTGTAATTAGTAAACAGTCATTTTTATGTCATTATTTATTATTAATAAACCTACAATAACTGTAAATAGGGCTTTCTTTTAACAAACTCAGGTTATTATAGAGAAGGAAAAAGGCACCCTGATGTTCTTCCAAGCTGCCGTATAAATATGTGCTCGAGATTTTGTGCATATTTTATTCATCTCTCTAAAATAAGTACTTATTAATCTTGAAGACTGTGTTTTGAATAATCAGTTTCAAGATGCTTCACATAAACCACTTCTGTCTTATTAATAAAATAAATAATGTTTATGTTATTGAATAATATATATTTTTGACCCTAATTGACATAGAAGTATTTCATTGTTTTTAGGGCTTCAGAGGCAAGCTTGTTGAAATAAAAAATCCTTAATTTCTAATGTTTTAAAATCAGATCTTTATAGTTATACATAGTAGTTGGTTTCATCTTGACAAATTCTTACATGCATGGAAGTCGATTGCAGTTTATGAGCCCCCCTTTCCCCTCCCGCTCTCCCTCTCCTCTCCCATTGCCTTTCCTCTACTCTACTGGATTTCCTTTCTCTTGTCTATTAATTGATACTTGATTGGTTCTTTGTATTATCCTATCCTTTCCTCCTCACTTCCTCTATTTTACTCTAGCTTCCACATATGAAAGAAAACTTTCAATCTTTGAGTTTCTGAGTTTGGCTTATTTTACTTATCATGATATTCTCCATTGCCATCCATTTACTGGCAAAAATGGCATAATTTCATTATTTTATGGCTGAGTGGAACTCTATTGTGTGTGTGTGTGTGTGTGTGTGTGTATCACAATTTCTTAATCCACTCACCTGGGTTGAGTCCATAATTTAACTATTGTGAATTGTACTGCTATAAAGGTGGATGTATCGCCCTAGTGTTTAGATCTTTGGGGAAAATGCCAAGAAGTGGGATAGCTGGGTCATATGGTGGTTCCATCCCTAGTTTTGGGTTTTTTTAGGAATCTCTATATTGCTTTCCAAATTTTTTATATTCATCTGCAGTCCCACTAATAATGTGCAAGTGTTTCTGTCTCCTCACTACCTTGCTAGTAATTTATTGTTGGTGGTATTCTTGATCATTGATTTGACTTTTTTTTTTTTAAAGTCTGCTTCCAAGGTAGTATTGTTGGTTACCTAAAGCTATCCTTTCCAAACTGGAATGCAGATGTGCCAGGGCAAAGGGGTCAAGGGAACTGACTACAATGGTAGGTGACCATACACATTTTGTATGAATGTGTATACCTTGGAGAGTTCAAGGGGTGGTTTAGGTAAAGATTCTAGAACAAGCACAAACAAGAGATGCCCAGGCAAACTGGCACATAAGTTCACCTGAACCTATGAGGACTATTCCTAGACCACATTTCTAAAGACACGGAATTATCCTGAAGGAACAATTTTACTAGAAAAAAAAATTGGTATGAAAAACATATTATTTTTATGCTAAGGCAAAGATATGGAACAGAATGGAAATTTCATGCGAATATGTTTTTAAATTTGTGATGGTTTTAAAGAGCTATAATGCATAGACTATATAATCCACCTAATTATCATGTACAATGTTACAATTTTAGTGTACATTCAGAGGACTGTGAATGTGTAGTCATCACCACCATCTAAGTTTAGAACATTTTTGTTGCCCTCTTGTACTGTTAATGAGCATTTCTCATCTCCTTTCAAACTCCCCTACCTTAGGCAAACATTAATCTACTTTTGGCTATATGGGTTTACCTATTATGAGCATTTCATATAAATAGAATCATACAATATGTGGCCCTTGTCTGGCGTCTTTCATTTGGTTTAATATTTTCAAGATTCATCCATATTATAGCATTTATTAGCATGCCTTTTTGTGGCATGCTAGTATTTGATGGTAAGTATATACCACATTATGATTATCTGTTCTTCAGTTGAAGAACATTTAGGTTGTTTCCACATTTGGGCTCTCATGAATAATACAGCTATGAATATTTGCTACATGAATTTTTAATGTAAAATTTGGAACTGTTATGCTTTCTCCTGGTTCTTCAGGCTATTCTCTCTGACTTTTAGCAGTTCAACCTTGTGCAATATTAAAAATATTTTGGTAAGAAAGTTTGAGAAGCCCTGTATAAGATGATGTCCCTAGCATATTAAGTTTGAAAACAATATTGCCTCTCTTTCTTTCTCTCTCTCTCAGTATATATATTTTAAATATATTACATATAGTATATATTTGTATATTTTATTATGCATTTTATATCTATATTACATAACATATCTAATTACATAAATATATATTTACATGTATTATATTTATGTTATATGGAATGTATATTATACAAATAATTTGTGTCTGTATTTATTAGTGGCCTTCAGGTGGCTAGGAATGGATCAGCTCATAGCCTTCATATGTATTTGCCCATGAACTTGCTGCCCAACCCAGAACCTGAACATTATTGGCACATTTGCTCCTGTCTCTTCCTCTATCCCATTTTTTGCCTCCTCTAGAGAACTGTTGATTTATATGTTGTACTCATCATTACCTTTCTTTTATTTTATTAAAATAATACTTATATATTTATATTTAGGTGATTTCCTATCATTTTATTACTTTTAGTGTCCGGTAGGAAGAAAAACTTATTAATGAGGAATTCACCCTTCCTAAGTGAAATGTGCAAAGACTACCAACTCAACTCCAGTGTGCCAGCACGAGGGGTTTTTAAATGTGTTGCATCTGATTTTCAGCAGAGCCAGAAAGATGAGAAATGTTCCCGACAGGGCCTTTAATTTCTTTCACTTTACATATAATTTTAAAGTACTGAAGTTAAGTGATATAATTCTTATCTGCCATTATCCAAAACCATTTGTTATTTTTCTGGTAGATTGGCATTTACAAAATGTAAAAATTTTTAAATGTAAAAAATGGTTTTCAAAACTATAAAGCTGATTTCCTTTTTGTGATTACTGATGTGAACAGTTGTCATTTGTAAACTATCTGTGTCTGTAGTTACACATTTAGAAATGAATTATGATGTATTTAATGCAATGATTTTTTTATAAAGTAATACTTATAATATTGCAAAAAAAAAATCCAGTTTCTCGTGTCTCTCAACTATATACTTTGGTTTGAGGCATGTTTTTAAACCTGGTTGCAGTTCTACAATTTAATGTAGCCCAGATAAGCTGCTGGTAAATCTTTATCAATATTTATTTTTATTCAGGACATTTTTTTAAGTTAATGGATTAAACCTTTCTGCATTCCTCCAACCTCATTCCTCCCTTGGATACTCTTGCCTTCTACTTGCCAATAAGAATCAGGGCCATCTAACTAGACTGCCTTAAGATTATTTTCCTTGACTTCTTTCACTTTTAATTCTTTGAAAATCTGTACTTTATCTCTGTCCAGGTGAATGTCTCCTTTCTGTCATCAAATGTTTATTGAGTGACAGCCACTGCACAGTCTTTAGATGTGTAGTTGATCCCATTACATTCCTTTGGGGACATGCTTTCTTTCTAGTCTTCTTTTATATTTCCAACAATATTCCTTTTAATAGTCTTCTTATATTTGCAAACCTGCTAAGGTATTCTCTGTTCTCAGAATAAAAATACTACTACATAATAAGTTGATTGCTTATTGTACTATTAAATTACTTCCTTTACTTATAGCAATCAGTCTTCATCACTTGAAACATTTAATCTTTATTCTAAATGTTAGGGTGCAAGCTTGTTAAAGTCACACACTTCACCTTTGTGTTGTCTTCTCTTAGGTGATTGCATGTGAGCAGCAATTAGATACCACTTACGATGCCAGATGTGACACTTGGTCCCTGGGTATAACTGCCATTGAGCTGGGTGATGGAGATCCTCCGCTGGCTGAGCTGCATCCCATGAGAGCACTCTTCAAAATACCAAGGTCAGACAGTCAGCATTAGGTTCAGTATCTGCATCCCCTTAGTCTTCCTTGAGCCTCTGGCTTCTCATCTTGCTCATCATGGAAATATTCAGACCTGTTCAGCAAATTGGGAGCAGAGTGACCTGGAATATTATTCTGCTTCTTCCAAGACTGTCTTTGTTCAGTAGTTGCATTTCCCTGATTGGAGTAAAAGAGTTTCTCTTGATAATCAGTGTGTCTTTTGCTAGAATTTGAACTCAGAAAATAACACTCCTTATCCTTTCCCCAGTGAGTCAGTGAGGCACCCTGGAACTGATCGGTGTAACAGTGATTTGCTTCATCTACCAATCTAGAAATATTTTACTACTTGCTAAGACTTCTCTTTGTTCAGAACCTTAAGATAATATTGTTAAAAAATGATAAATAAAATTTAGTGATAAAATACTAATGATTTAAAATATGTCATTATAATATGATATAGACTAATACCCTCTTTAGAGCCATGAAAGTACTGTATAGACTCTGCTCCTCTGGTGTGTGTAGCAACATATCTTCCATGGGCTTATCCTATTACTCATTTCTTTAAATATTGCTTTATCTGTCTGTTGGTTAGTTCTAGATGTTTCAGAAAACAAACGTGAGAAGATTGCTTATCTTAATTGTCAATGTGTCATTTATGAAGATGTTAAAGTTTTCAAAATGCCTGGCACCTTAATTCTAATAGAATGCATAAATACAGCCTGTGATGACAGGGACGGGGGCTGAGTGGTATGGTAATATATTACAGTCTGTTATTACACTATCAAACAAATTTGTGATCTCCACACCTGAAGACACAGAATCACACATACAAAGTCCTGGGGAGGAAGAATTCTTCCTAAAAGAATAACACCAATGTATTCTATTCACTCCCCAAATAATCCATTTTAAATGTTTGACATGCAATTTAATTCTTATAACATCAAAGCATTTAAATTTCTTTTTTATTGCCCTTGAATTTCCAGTCTATCTGTAGGTTCTGAATTATATTGCTTTAGGTATATGGCAACTTTTACATAATAATCCCAATGTTATTTCAATTCTTATTGTTTGTGAACATATATTACTTATTTGGTAAGTGGGGAAACAAGATTACAGAAAAGAGAGGAAAACTGTCTGATTCCAGCTTCAAGACATCTTGTTGAATTTGAGGAAAACAGGAAAAAAATCTATATTGCTTACACCCTATTGTCATTCTTAATTTAAATGAAGCTCTTTATTTCCTGAGCCATTTTGATTGTGGTTTAAACCATCATATTTAACCTAATATTATTAGTCTTGGTTATAATGCCACCTTGGAGGAAGGGTGACAGCTGTTGATTCAGATATACAGTTACATGGTTGTTGGTAGCTCAGTATTATGCAGTTTGCCAGGTGATTCTGGAAACTGCATCATATTAATTATTTCTTATCATTTCTACCACCAGTATCTCTCCAAAATGAAAGTCTGAGAATATTGACTGTAGACATAGGTAAGGAAAGATATCTAAAAAGTTACCCAGTTCCGAGTGTCATGAACTCATTATGACTTTACTATTCTCAAAGCAAGCCAATAAGTCTCATAAAAGGAAATATTCGGGGGACAAGAAACAAAACAAGATTGCTGGTAAAAAAGAACTACTTCTTTTAACGTGTAAATCAGAAATCTTCCAATTGTCTTAAGGATTGTGAAATGAGCTCAGGCGTGATCTGGGGCAGATGAGTAGCCGCACTTTTCTTTAATGAGCCTGTACAAACTGTACATTAATTTCATTATAAGCTATTTAAGGAGGAATGCAGAATCAAAGACAAAGTATTTCCATTCCACTAATGAAAACAAAGAGCTGTTGGAATGAACATAAAGCAGCACTTCAGCGATTCAGCCATCATGGTTGATCAATGTTGCTTGATTATGGAGTTAGATCAGCCTCGTTTTCACGGATGTGCCAAAAAAGAAAGGAATTGTTCAGCTTGAAAAATGAAAAGAATTAATAACAAGATCTTTTAAGTGGCATTTAGAGCTTTATAGCTAATAATATTTTACAGTCCCTTGCTTTTGTAACACTTGGTAACACTGTTTCCTGAAATGTATGCAGTAACAAAAGAACAACTCACATTCTGCTGTGCCCCTCTGCAGTACTGTCCTCCTTATTCTAAACAGTTCTCCTTTCAAGTCACCTCTGTACACCTCTGTGCACCCTCAGAGACTTCAGCAGGATTCATGAGGGGCAGGGGGTTACTTTATTCCAGAATTCATTGTTTCTATTCTGCTAAGTATTGATATTTTCCCTTAGGGCTGTCAGGTAAAAGCAAGAAAAATTATTTTAAAAGAAAAAATTAGCAGTTAGAAAAATTGGGTCATACATTAAATGCTTTCAGAAGAAAAGAAAAAGGAACCTGTCATTTTATGTCAAGAATGATTAAAACTAATTATCTCTCTTTGAATTGGAAAATGGTGGCTTTCTTGAGTTACAGTGTGTGAGTGCAGTAATGCATTGGTCTATCTGACTGTGCTTCTCTATTGCATTGACTGCCCAGTGGACATCATCCGACCTTGATTCTTGTTTTTCTAGGAATCCACCTCCAAAACTAAGGCAGCCTGAGCTATGGTCAGCAGAATTCAATGACTTCATAAGCAAGTGAGTAACAATAGAGTTTTTTGTTTTCTGTTTTTTGTTTTGTTTTTGTTTTTTTTTTTTTAAAGAAGAAATAACATCCTGCATTGACTTTGAACTGTGCCTGTTTGCCAATGTCACTGGGCTTCTTAATCTCCTCCTGTTGCTCTTTATCTGTTGAATAGCTCCAGAGGTTTCCCTTATTTTCTTCAAAAGAAGCATCTGTAGTGTCTTCTGTGAGTTCATTGATACTCAAATAATGCTCTCAGGGTCAAATTTATTCACGTATCTCTAGCTGTGCTCCTGGGGACCCCTTATCATCTATGGACATATTATGTTCCTCCTTTCACTTGCCTTTTGCAGGTACGCCTTAGGCATCTTGTACAAGCTCAACCATCATCCCTTTAGCCAGTCATTTAACCCTTTACTTATGTACATCACTGTTCTCACTGCAGTCAGAGAATTTTCACTGCAATCAGTGAATCAGAAAATTGTATTCATAAAAAGCTTTATGTGTGAACATGAGAGGCATTTTTTTCTTAAGTGCATTTTTTGTTTGTTTGTTTGTTTTTTGTTTTGTTTCATGCTGGAGATTGAACCCAGGGCCTTGTCCATGTGCAGTAAGCACTCTACCAACTGAGCTGTATCCCCTTTAGTAGATTAAGCTTATTAATATGTAAATGTCTATGGCAATTGTTTTTGTTGTTGTTGTTGTTGTTCCTTTCCATTGGACATTTTAAACTTGACAAATAGCTCAGGCGCACTGTCTCCATACAATTGACTAGGAACTAGGTGTCAGTCATCTATAAGAATCTGTCTCATAATCCTTTTTCACAATTTTTGTTATGTCTTCACCTTAAAAAGATAAGGTAAAGGATGACCCCAGTTGTAAATGGGACCGAGGAGAAGGGGCATTAAAATGTGGTATGCCAAAAATCTACTCAGAAAATGTATAAAGGACAAGAAAGCAGAGTAACCAGCCATTTTTATACATACTGCTATCACTGATTTTCCTACCAAGAATATCTGCTTATATTTCTAAAAGCAAGAGAATTAGATTCAAGAGTTTGTAAGAACCCAAGATAGATTGATAACCTTTTTACCTTCAAGTTTTCACTGATCAGATGTTACTAAGCATGTGTTAAGCACTACATTATATTTAGTGAATTACAATAGCATTTCTCAGTTCTCCTAGGAGAACTCCACTGTTAGCTTTAAAGGGATCCCCATGATTCACAGTGTCTGCCCTCATGTCTTCAAGATCCTCCCCGACAGATCCTCCATGGAACATGGGTTCTTTGACATGTTTCTCACTGTGTCCCATCTAAGAAATGTTCCTGGTTTCCTCCAGGGAGTTAAAATTCTGTCTTGCAGAGTGTTAAATTTTGTTCCTCCTTCCACTAGAAACATTGCAAATTTTATTCAACTTTACTGTTTTTGGTGACTTTCTCTCTAACTACACAGTAAAGCAAGTCTGGAGCACTGAATGTGTCTTTCTTTGCCACTGTCACTCCAGAATCACTGTGTACCTGGTACACATTGGTTATTGGTAAAGGTATACTTGAACAAAGTACTTTCTTTCATGTGAGACTCTTCTTAGCGCTTAAATGTGTATGTTACAGATATTAAAAATTGCTATGCATATTTTGTTTAAGTAAAACTTATTCTTATTTTTAGACATTATCATCCTTATTTCTTAGCATTTTTATCTATTTTGATTAAGCCTGATGAAATAAAAGGCCAAATTATAATCCCAGGAGGATCAGCGATACTGCTTGTCCCTGAAGCCAAGGATTGGGCAGCAGGGACTTCTACTTCTTCTCCTTGTCCTCCTTTTTCTTCTTCTTTTTCTACTTTTTAGTATCCAGTTTTATCATAATTATAGAGCCTCTGCATCTCAGGGTTGAATGGTCTTGGAAAGTTATAAGAACTCAAACACACAGTCACAGAGCTTAAATCCTTCTTGAACATGTGCATGAATTGGCCATTTGATCAGTACTGAAATATCCCTTATGAAAACAATCATTCAAAAAATAAAAATAAAAAAATAAAAACAGTTATGCTTTCCATTGCAGCCCATTACACCCTGATGAAATTCACTTAAAAAATTCTTCTTTACACTGACTTGAAAGCTGTTTCTCACTTCATTACATGCCTTAGTCCTAGATTTTTCCCCCATCATAACCACTGAGAGCTACCCAATGCCTCTTACAATATTTGAAGACAGTTGCCATGGCTGGAAAGACATCCTAAGTCTGTTCAGATGCTCCTCTGGTGTCCTTGCAGGTGCTCTTATTGGCATGGTGTGCCCTGGTGGAATCTATCAACAGGTGTGATCTGCAGTGCTACATCTACTGTATGACCTCAGGAAACACCTGCTGACAGGAATGCAAATGTCTGCAGCAGATTAGTCTTCTCCAGTGGGTTAGCAGTTTTATCACTCGAAAGAAATCAGTGGAGAAGTTTGTGTTAATTTTAGATAAGCATTAAGACTGTAATGATTTCATTGTTGTTTATCTTTAGCCACCGGCTTGAAGAGGAGACTTTGCAGTAGAGACAGAGTTTAATTATCACTATACATTAATGCCTACAGGGAGACTAAGGAAGTGGTATTGAGTGGAAAGTTGATATCATAACAGTGTCCTAATTCTCAGATATGTGCACATTTGCAGACGTTCATTCATCATTTTGAAGTTTAATATTTTTTGAGATGTGCTTGGACTGAGCATCTGTGAGAAGTATCACTTTCTTAGTAGGATAGATTTTTAGCAATATAAATAATAGTCTCGAAACTCTACCCTATTGAATGATTGTGTGTTCTTTTTGCCAGTGCAGGTGCTTGACTAAAGATTATGAAAAGCGCCCAACAGTATCAGATCTTTTACAGCATCAATTCATTACTCAAATCGAAGGCAAAGATGTGATGTTACAAAAACAGCTAATGGAATTCATTGACATTCATCATTGCATGGGAGGCACAGAAAAGGCCAGGTAATCAAATAATATCTGGAGTCCCAAAATCCAAATTACCTGAACACCCTGGACAGTTTTACAGGTCAATAGTTGCTAAGGTGGAAAAAGACCTCATTGAAGTTCTCTGGTTGTGATTTGAAGGTAATGGATTACTTACATGGAAAGTGAATGTCACATGTAGAGTTGCATCCTGATAAAGGTAAAGTTACTGGCAGCAATTTTTTTTCTTTTTATGGTACTGGGGATTGAACCCAAGGATGCTTAACCACAAAGTCTCACTGAGTTGCTTAGACCTCACTAAGTTGCTGAGGCTGGCTTTGAACTCATGATCCTCGTATCGAAGCCTCCCAAGCCACTGAGATTACAGGGGTGTGCCACTGTGCCCGGCTGGCAGTATTTTTTAATGAATTCATGATGATTAGTGTTGGTATATATTTCTTTTGTTTTCTGGTCTTTTGCAAAGTAAAATATATTAAATCTTGGATTTAAAAAAGAAAATGTATTAACTCTTGAAAGACTTTTTAATACTATTATTAGTTGGCATAATTTTCTCTGGTTCAATTATATTTAAAATCATTTTAATATCTTTATTCATATTTCCTATTTAGATTATTTCTTTATTTTTATTTATATATGACAGCAGAATGCACTACAGTTCTTATTACATACATACAGCACAATTTTTTATATCTCTGGTTGTATACACAGTATATTCACACCAATTCGTGTCTTCATACCTGTACTTTGGATAATAATGATCATCACGTTCCACCATCATTAATTACCCCATGTCCTGTCCCTCCCCTCCCACCCCTCTTCCCTATCTAAAGTTCATCTATTCCTCCCATGCTCCCCCTCCCTATCCCACTATGAATCAGCCTCCTTATATCAAAGAAAACATTCGGCATTTGGTTATTTGGGATTGGCTAACTCCACTTAGTATCATCTTCTCTAATGTTTTAGGGAATTTAAAAGATACATAGAACTATACAACATAAAAAATTTCTCAAGTACAAAATTCTAATCTATAAACTTTTAGTATCTTTTATGGATGAATATACATTTTTAAAGCAAAATTTAGAATAAAGTTTACTTGTGCTCTGGAGTCTGTCTTCTTTCAACGAATAGTGAATATTCATGTCATTAAATATCCTCCTACCACAAATTTTTTAATGGCTGCACAGAATTTCTTGCCTGTTTATTCAATGATGGCTTTAAATTATTCTCTCTTATGAGATATGTAAGTTGCTACTAATTGTTTTTACCTTAACAAGAAATATTGTAAAGAATAGAGTTGTACAGGAATTTCTTATTCTTTTTTAAAAACATTTTTTTAGTTGTAGATGGACACAGTAACTTTATTTTATTTATTTATTTTTATGTGGTGCTGAGGATCGAACCTAGGTGAGCACTCCACCACTGAGCCACAACCCCAGCCCTCTTATTGTTTCTTTAAGATAAATTTCCATAGAAGGTACTGTTAAGTCAAAAGATAGTCTTTTGTAATTTAAATTTATTTTTGAGAATCCTATTGGTTTCATCTCCAAAGCATATCACAATTAAGAAAAATGGTAGACGTGAATAGAAAACAGGACATGGCTTATTTGAATTTCTGTTGTGAGTTTAGAAATGTAATTACTATTGTTTAATGTCTACTATGTGTTAGATATTGTCATAGAATTTATTCATACTGTCTCATATGATTTTAAAACAGACTTGAAGAAAATAATCTGACATCTTATTTTCACAGATGAAAAGAAATAAAGTTTATAGAGGTAATTAACTTATAGGCTGCATGGATAATGAATGGCTAGATCCCAACACCCATGCTTTATCCATGAGCAAAAGGTCTAACAGTTGTGGATAACCTCAGGAGATAATGATCCTTGCTTACATGAGTTTATGGTCTTGGTGCAGAGACAGAATGAATATGCCTTTAACAAGTAAATATTAAGAAAGAGGCAGGCAATAGTGAGGAGGTGGCCATGGGCTCCTCTGGTCCTGTCGTTACATCTTTGTGTGAATGGAGTTCCATAGTCTTCCACAACCCCATCCTTCTCAAAACAAGCAACCAGCAAACAAATAAAATAAACAGAAATTGAGTTGTACCAACATTATGTAGGATGTTCAATGTCAAGAACTATGAACTATCTATTTGCAAACTGACAAGTTGGCCTGCTAGCTTCATGAATGCTAATAGAAGACTCAAGAGTTTGAGATCAACTCACAATAGCTAAACTATGGAATAAACCTAGGTGCCCTTCAACAGATGAATGGATAAAAAATGTGGTATATATGTATATGATATTACTCAGATTTAAAGGAAAATGAAATCATGGCATTTGCCAGTAAATGGATGGAACTGGAGAATATCATGCTAAGTGAAATAAGCCAATCCCCAAAAAGCCAAAGGCTGAATGTTTTCTCTGATATGCAGATGCTGATTCACAATAAGGGATGGGGGGGCTAGGAAAGAATAAAGTTACTTTAGATTAGGTAGAAGGGAGTAAAGGGACAGAAGGGTGTATTCTTATGTACATATATGATTGTACTTATTTACATATATGATTGCGTGGATAAGGTGATTCTACATGTAAAATCAGAAAAAATGAGAAATTATACTCCATTTGTGTATGATATATCAAAGTGCATACATGTATTCTGTCATGTATAGCTAATTAGAACAAATAAAAAACTTTTGTTTAAAAAAAGAGACAGAAATCAGGGACAAAGGACTTGATTACTCACGGCAAAACTGAAAGCCCCGTTGGTTGTCCCTGCCCTTTAAGTCCTCAGGGTAATATGGAACTCTCAAGGTGGATACTGCATACAGAGTAGACTTGCCTTATAGGTGGAAAACCCTGTATTTAGGGAACTCTAATCTTTAAAAAGCATTGTTAGTATCCAGTCTAATTTTTGCTATGAAAGAGACATATCTTTACCATCCTGGATAGCAAATAAAATACAAAGCAAGCAAACAAACACCTTTCATCTGTTCTGGAGAGAGACAATGTTTTTTGTTTTTGTTTTTTATTTTTTTAATTTCCAAGTTCTTTGCTATTTAATCATTGAAAATAAAGTCTTGAACAAAAAACTAATACAAGACATGCATTGATGTGAGGGACCCAGGGAGATTTTCTCCTAGCATTCAAATATAAAAATGGTTAAACTAAGACACAATATTTGTATTTTAATCCTGATGTTCTAGGGTTCAGTTATCAACACTTGAAAAATTACTATATACTGGACATTATGCTTAGGCTCATACTTCTGATTCTGAATCACAAGATGTGTTTTTGTTTATATTGGTAAGAATAGAACCTGCTTCTATTACGAGAGCCCATGCCTTACTCAATTATGGAAATTTTTTAGCCATTATTCCTTTAAATAGTGATCCCCTCTGATTCTTCTTATTATTTTTCTCCTATGCAATTAATGGTAGAATTTTCAAATTTACCTTACTACATGTTTTGAAATTTTTACTTAATGTTTGTCATCCATTTATCAATTTCTCCTATATTTTGGATGAATTATTTGGAATTGTTTTCCAATTCACTAATTCTCGTTTTGAACTGGGCCTAGTCTAGAAGCCATACTGTATATTAATTTTGCATGCTGATGTCTGTATCAACACTTAGTTTTTCATTTCTAGAATTTCTCACAGTTTTATTTTTGAATCATTTATACTTCATTCATATCTGATTTTTTTGTATCTGGTTGTTCATATGTGGCTTGTGTGTGTGTGTGTGTGTGTGTGTGTGTGTGTATACATATATATTTTTTCTTTTTCTCTTTGATTTTATTCATACTCTTCAACAATCACTATCAGATTTGCATTTCAATGGATATAAGTTGTTCTGATTATTGATGTTATTGGTTTACTTAATATTTCACGTTCCTTTGTGCTTTTGAATGTGACTTTACTTCCCCATCCTGAGTAGTTTTTTTTTTCTTTCTTTCTGCATTTTCTTCATTTTTAAAGGTTTAGTTTATGCCATGATTTGACTTCAAGGTTTCTTAGTCCAGAGCCTTCCTGCCCCTTATGTGTGGAAGAATATTGTAGTTATAGTCACTGTGCTTTCTAATTTCTAATAAGAGGCAGAGTCCTACCTCCCAATTATTTGGGAATTTCTTCCCATATTGAAAGGTATTTTGATCTGTTGAAGCAGTGGATAAATACCCTCTCTATAGAATATTTAAACAGGCTCCTGAAATTCTTTAATGTATGTTGAACATTTACCTAAAACATTTAAGCCATAAGACTTGCATTCCCTTATAAAGGAAAATCTTAGCATCTATTTGAATAAGAAATTGCAAACTAAATTTGCCTTTTGTAGTAGTTATATCATAAGGGTGTTATTATTTTAGCCTTTTTTCATATTTATATAGAAAGCAAAATATCTTTAATATTTTACTTGCTACCCTCTATATGCTAGTAATAATTGATGTTGATATGTATAAATTGTAATATTTCGTATATAATTTCACAGAAGCAATAAAGAATACATACAAGATTTAGTTACTCAAACATAGATGTTTCTTAGACAGAAAGTACTATTAGTGACACTGTTGTAATCATCCCTCTTGGCCCATATATGTGGTTTTCAAGGTAGAATGTAAGGCAACTTTGAGACATAGCTGAAAGGATTAACAAGTGAAAGATGAATTGAAAAACTGTTCAACCATTCAGTGTTAGAAGTGTCTGGTTCAAGCTGTCAGTTGTTTATTAGGTGTGGGACTTTATGCAATGTAAATTCACCCAAGTAAGATTTTGATTTTGCAGAAGAGAACAATGAAAAGAGAAAAATCAGTTGAAAATAATAAAAGGGTTCTTGTGGTGCAATCCAGTGCATGACTCCATTTTACTTTCTATTTGCTAGGCAAGCTAATTTTTCTCTAATTGCTTAGACTATGTCATGGTGAGAATTATTCACCCTTTGGAACATTTACCCCTTTTCCTCAGCACATGAGACTTTGAAAGTGCTGTCCTGGTTGCTCTTATATCAGCCCATTTTTTC